TGCCCGGCCAGTCTGATAAAATTTCTTGAATGAAAATATGTCCAAATATAAAAAGGGAAGGTACAGGTAATGAAGTTCCCTGTCCTTGACTTTGTTTTGCTTTTGATACTGGTCATTATGTCTTTTCTGCTTTGATTTGCCTTCTAGAAATTACTCTGGGATAGCTTTTTTTTAATTTTAAATTTTTTATTTTCAGTTTTCACTGTTTATTTTGTAGAGATAGGGTCTGTCCATGTTGCCCAGGCTGGTCTCAAACTCCTGTGCTCAAGTGATCCTCCCACCTCAGCCTCCCAAAGTGCTGGGATTACAGGCATGAGCCACTGCACCTGGCCACTAGGATATATTTTGAATGTAAAGTTGGTAAGTAATAGTGATTTTATTATTGAAGTTTTTGGCTTGTAGAATACATACCTCTAACGACAGCCTATGCAAATAAATAATAATGCCATTTATTGTGCATCTATTACAGATCTTGGAGCATATGAAAAAAAAAAGAAGAAATTTTAAGCATGTTTTGAGTGATGTGAGTGAATGGAAATGATGCACGAACTGATTTCAACTCATTAGTAGTCAGAATTTAGAAAATAGAATGGAGTACTTTTCTAGTAGAATCTTTTGGCCAAGTCATCCTCTAAACTGGAGATCTGGGAATCTATTTCTTTTTTCTTTCTTTCTTTCTTTCTTTCTTTTTTTTTTTTTTTTTTTGGACAGAGTCTCACTCTGTTGCCCAGGCTGGAGTGCATTGCTGCGATCTCAGCTCACTGCAACCTTAGCCTCCTGGGTTCAAGCAATTCTCATGTCTCAGCCTCCCGAGTAGCCAGGACTACAGGGGTATGCCAATATGACCAGCTAATTTTTGTAGTTTTTAGTAGAGACAGGTTTTTGGCCATGTTGGCCAGGCTGGTCTCAAACTCCTGGCCTCAAGCAATCCTCTTGCCTCAGCCTCCCAAAGTGTTAGGATTACAGGTGTGAGCCACCGCGCCTGGCCGGAATCCATGTTTCTAATACTGGCTGATATTTCAAAGAAGCGAATTGGGAGCACAGTCCAAGTGGCCTTGACACACCCATGCTAAAAAATGTAGCCAGTATGTGGTATGGCTGGCACTGATCCTGAGAGTTTGGGTAAATGCTGGGGCCATTCTGGGGCATTGTGGGATGAGCGGTGTGTACCTAGGAATGTGAGAAATTGGTGAGCGGTGATCAGTGGGTTGTGATCACTGATGTGAGGTGCACATTTTTTAGAATCAGAAAGTGGAAGTGTTAGGAAATCACAAATATTTCCTATATACACAATTAGTTTCCTGGCTCCACTCTGAAAGCAAGACCTTAAGTTAAAGCAACAGATCCATTTGGAGTGGCAGAGCAAGTGTGTATTGTATGAGGTGCCAGGCAGCCTTTGCCAGGTGGAAAGAAATCAGCCAAGATTGAAGTACATCTGAATCAAAACCAGGGTGATCCAAGGTCAGGACATCGAGACCACGGTGAAACCCCGTCTCTACTAAAAATACAAAAAATTAGCCGGGCGCGGTTGTGGGCGCCTGTAGTCCCAGCTACTCGGGAGGCT